TTTCTTTGGTCAGTTTGGGTGCACGGCCATGTTTTGGTAAGTTTGCACTTGTGGCGTACTCTTTCTGTTTTCAGACGCTTGTACAGCGTTTCGTGAGATGTTCAGATTTTGGAATATTGTTTTATAACCTAACCCTGCTGTAAACTTCTTAACAACTTTATCCTAGACTGGTCTGGAGTCGTCCTTGGCCTTCATGATTAATAATGTTCTGTAACAATATGTGGTCCAAATTTGAAAAATGATACTTTGCAGGAAGTGCTGTCTGTGAGAAAACCTACATTTATTTATTTTTTGTAAAGGAGACATGAGGATGGTCACGTCTCCTCCCTACATCATCTCTCATGTTTCAGGACTTCATTATTTATTCATTATCTCCAGTCAACACGTGACAGACTCCTCCTGGAATTGGATGATGAGGAAACCAGGAGGGCTGAACTTCTTTGAGCCTACAAGAGCCACACAGAAGCTTCATGTTACCAGGTGAGTCTCAGTAGTGCATCTATGCGTGTCTCTGTCTCAGGTTCATGCTCAGCTTCATCAGAGGTGTAAAGGCCACGCCTCGCAGATCAAGAAGAGAAGAGTAAACAAGTGCAGCGTTGCTCCAACTCCCAGACTGCTCTCTAATGATCTCCAAAACCTCGAGCACTGTGGAGATGGTCACGCAAGGAAAACTGGAGATCAACACAGAAAATGTTGAAGGTAAATGCTTTTTAAAGATCTTTAATAAGTGAGGGCTCAGTTTTGTCTAGTAGTAATGAAATGTACTTAACAATTTGAAAATGGAATAAAGGGGCAGAAAACTTTCATTTAGTGACATTTCAGGATTATTAAGATTAAATGGAGAAATAAAGGACATTGATCTGTCGAGTCTTTTCAGAAAGAAAGTTCTTGAAACAAGTTGCTGTGTACGTACAATACAAACGTTTCAGGCAGGAGTGGAAAAATATAAAGTGAGAATGTGTAGAAGTACTGCAATTTGTTATTTAGTATTTTACTAAATGTAATAGTCATTGGAGCAGAAGAAGAAGGTAAATCTAACTCAAAGACTGTTAATTCTCACAGAGTCTTACACTAAGTCTAGGATTTATTAGGACTGTATAGGAAGTCAGGTTCAAGAGTAATCAGTTATGTCAAACTGGAGTTAAGTTTTATACTTGGGTTGGAACAGTGAATAACAGAAACAGCTGTGTAAGAGGTTTACATCTGGCTCAGGAACAGTCAAATTCTTCTACGGAGGTGAATCTGAAGATCATGTTGTATGTCACAAGTCAAACACCACGGCCAGACTGAGCCCAGTAACGAGACGCAATCATCAACGAAGCAAATATTTTGAAGCAGATTGGAGTTTGCTGTTGAAGTGCTTTAGAAGAAATGAGATTTTTGCTTTCTTTCTTTCTATCCATCTGTCCGAAAAGCCTAACTGTTGCTAATGAACCTAACTTTTTGTGTAAAAACTAAACTATGCACTAAAGCATAAATGGGTGGAGAGAACAGGGATTCTAAACTGAAACTAAAGAAGTTGCTTTTCAAAATTATGAGTGTTAAATGTTTTGGTTGATACTGAAGGCAAAATAAACACAACACCAACTAAATACCAAAAGTAGCAACATGTTAGCTAATGGCTAAAAGTAGCAAAATTCTACACAAATTAAAGTAGCAAAAGACTGACTTAAAGCTAGTAAAAGGTAAGGTCATAGGTCATATTCTTTATAAATAAAATTATTTCAATTAGGGAGAACATTCAAACCATCCTTCCTACTATCGCCTCTGGTTCCCTGTCAGATGGGGCAATTAAAAAAATGTCACTAGAACCTGATTTATGTTTGGACTGTTTTTGTCCTGTTGAGCTCTCTGAATTGTCAAAAATAATAGCTTCATCCAAACCATCCACATGTCTGCTAGATCCCATTCCATCCAGGCTATTTAAAGACATATTTCCCTTAATTTACCACGTCTTGAATCTGCTTAATTTGTCTCTAATGAATGGTCACATACCACAAAGTTTGTTGTAATTAAACCTTTACTTAAGAAACCTGATTTTGATCCAGGAATTCTGGCCAGTTATAGACCTATATCTAACTTTGATCTAAAAGATTCTTGAGAAAATAGTTGAAATATATAATCTGTTTGAGGAGTTTCAGTCAGGGTTTAGAGCTCACCATAGCACAGAAACAGCACTGGTGAAAGTTTCTAATGATATACTCATGGCCCCTGACAATGGACAGGTGTCTACAGTGGTCCTCTTAGACCTCAGTGCTGCATTTGATACAGTTGATCATAATTTTCTACTACAGAAACTTGAATATGATATTGGAATTACAGGAATGGCTCTAAACGGTTTAAATCACATTTATCTGATAGATTACAATTTGTAAATGTAAATAATGAATCTTCATCTTACACCAAAGTTAGTCATGGACTTCCTCAGGGTTCCGTGCTTGGACCAATACTCTTTACCTTGCCTGTATATATGCGTCCATTAGGTAAAGTTATTAAACATCATGGGATAAATTTTCAGTTAGGATGGTGCCCTCTGTGATCACCCTGCATCTGTACTTATAGTGTCTCTCCCTGCTGATCTCCCTGATCCGTATCACCCGTGTGTCCTGTCCAGCTGTTTGTTATTATGTCTCATCTAGTCTGTATATTTAAGTCTTGGTCTGTGTCTCAGTCATTGTCGGTCCATCGTCTGGTTTCCTCCTGTGTTCCCTGAGCGTTTCACGACCTGTTGTTGTAAGTTTATGCTGCCACGTCAGCCTGTTTATTTATTTATTATCATAATTATCATTATTATTAAAGTATTTATTATCTTACATCCGGGCCTCCGAGTCCTGTCTGCACCATTGGGTTCTTTCCTGCTTTCCTCTGCATGAAACCCTGACATTTTCATTGTTATGCTGATGATACACAGTTACATTTGTCCATGAAACCCAATGAATCCGATCAGTTACTTGGACTACAAGCATGTCTTGAAGACATAAAAATATGGATGACCCTTAATTTACTGCTTTTAAACTCAGACAAGGCAGAGGTTTAGGTTTATGGGCCTGAGTATCAGCTGAAACATCAATGGCTAGCTAGAATATAAAAGTAGCAAATGGTTAACTTAAAAATTAAAGCTAGCATAAGGTAAGCTTGAAGTTTAAAAGTTAAATTATAGCTACAAGTTGCAAAAAGCCAGCACTTGCTTCAAAGTAGCGCATAGCAATATAAAAACTGAAAGCAACATAAGACTAAAATAGTACAATGCTGGTTCTGTTTTTATTTTATTTTATTTTCAATATTCAAACCTTAACCTTTGGCGAGTTCCATAACATTATAAACCCGCTATGCTTTGAACTTTTTCAAACAGATGCAAAAATTGGCTCCTGAAGTTTGGTTTGGACTTTTATCATCAGAAATTAAATTAAATTAATGATTAATTAATTAATAATTTCCTATCTAAAAGTGTGATTCTGAATAAGGATAAGAAGGCTGCACTTATAGCAGCAGTTTCGTGCACTCCATCCATCTTTTGGACGACTGTACGTCCATGTTCTCGTTGTGTCTCGGTACAATGATGATAAATCTTATTCTGATTCCGATTCTAAAGTAAATGGATTTCTGACTCTGACAATATTAATCAAAAAGTAAACCCCACATTTACTAAACTGACCAAAGAAGACCCCTAATTCTATACAATTATTGTGCATCAAACGTTTTTTTGTTTGTTTCTATGACATGAGATAATTTTTTAGGTCACGTGTTTTCCTCAGAGATTAATTAGGTTATTACAAACAAAGGGAATATGGGACTTTAGCACAGCCACGCCTGACAGAGTGAATGTTTTCTGTAAACTTCAATAAAGTCCCGTCCCACCGGATCGTATTGCTGTTTAATCAGCTGTCAACAAACTGACCGCAAGAGCTTTCTGTTTGGGCATTCATGCAAACGGAACAAATGTGCCTTTAAACAATCATGGCAGATATTTCTTGGCGCTTCTAAAGCATTTTCTCTCTTGGCAGATAAAAAGTCAGGGAGCCTGGGATGCTTTGGTTGGCTGTTGGTGATCATATCCCTCCTCATCGTAGTAGCAACATTCCCACTCACACTGTTTGTGTGTGTCAAGGTAGAAAACCTCATTATTGCATTAAACTTTTGATCATTGACGTGTCTGCATAGCACGGGTTAACATTTTTCCTGGAAACTGCTGTCTTTCCGCATGGATTACTGTTTCTGATGCGCAGATTGTGAAGGAGTATGAGCGAGCAGTCATTTTCAGACTCGGTCGGATCACTGACAGGAAACCTAAAGGACCAGGTTGGTGGCTTTTCATGAATGAGTGAACCCTTTTTGTTACTCATATTCTCTGCTTTAAAGGAGGATCAAATTTGGTGTTTATCTCTTTTCAGGACTTTTCTTTGTTTTGCCGTGCACTGATACCTTTGTGAAAGTTGATCTGAGGACTGTGTCGTTTGACATCCCTCCACAAGAGGTGAATTTTTTTAATACATTTTCTCTCTTACAGCAAATACACCCTATCTGTACCTTCTGTTTCTTGTTAAAGCACCCATCTTCTTTGATCATACGAGTAACAACATTGTGATCACCCACCGCCAAAAGCAACACTGTTTGTTTCAGTGTGTGTATGTAGAGTTAGCAAAATACCTCCTGAACCAATGAATTGATTTTCATGCAACTATCAAGTCAAACAAATTCAAAATGGCTAATCAACCTTAGCTATAATGACTATAACTCTGCCAATTTTACAGATAATAAGCTAGTTTTGTTGTGGTACAAGCTGAGAGTCATTCTCAACACATACTCTGAGCATCAATACATCTCAGCATAAGATCACCTTACTTTGGCATAAAAGGCAGTGGGGATGAGCATAAATTAGGATTTTAATCCTATGAATTACTTCCTTTCCCAGATCCTAACCAAAGACTCGGTGACGGTGTCTGTGGATGGAGTGGTGTATTTCCGTATTCACTGCCCCATCTCATCAGTGGCCAACGTGTCCAACGCACACTCATCCACACGGCTGCTTGCCCAAACCACTCTGAGGAACGTCCTTGGCACCAAAAACCTTTCAGAGCTTCTGTCTGACAGAGAGGGCATTTCAATCAGCATGCAGGTCAGAATAAATCACAGAGACTGTAAAGGGACGGTTCAAATCTGTTGGCAACAGATTTCTATTTTAGCTCAACTAATTCATTCTAAGATTTATTCTCATCGATTGGTTCATTTTAAAGTGTGAAGTCCACACTAGCTATGGACATGGACATTAGTAATTGGATTAAATGGCCATTCAGAATAAAAATGCATCATGCTGCTGCCTGTTCTTGGCCAGGTCACCCTTGTGAAAGAGGTCTTGATCTCAATGGGTTTTTATCTGGTTCCATTCATTATCTTTTACCTGCTTCTTCCATTTTAGGGTCATGAAGTTTTATCTAGTTAAATAAAGGTTTAATAATAAAAAAAATTAATAATCATGTAAACGCCCCATTCAGATTATTCTGAGCTGATTCAGCTCGATCCAAGTGAATATGTAATCGGAATGAGAAGGGGAGTTTATGCCGATTCATAATCCGAACGGTGTGCATGTAAACACTTAATCTGATCATTTTATTCTGATTGTGGAAAACTGACCTGACTGTGCATGTGCGACCTGTCAACCTCACGTATTTCTATCTGGCTAGATGCTTATATGTCGGGGAAGCAAAACTGGTCGGTGAGCGACAACATTTCTACTAGGAACTTTGAAAGAGCTCAAAATTATTGAACGCCTTGACGGTCGACCACCGTCATTAAAACCTGGCGCGGGTCCATTTTGGGCGCTCAGGTTTGTTGTTCATTACGAGAGTAGAACTTCTTCTGTGTTTTTTTTTAAGGAAAGTTTACCGCACTGCGAATGTCACTTCTATTCTGAATAAAAGCCCGCTGCATGTAAACGCTCGTCATGATCAGATTGTGCCCATGTAAACGATACATTCGGATTATTTAATCCAAGTACATTTGAATCTGATCCAATAATTTTGCACATGTAAATATAGCTACTGATGGCTAAAAAGAAAGTTTAACCTAAATTCCAACAAGGTTGATTCAGATCCTCTGGACAGATTCTTCTTTATTGAAAGAAGTTTCTTTGAAGACTGATAAGACTGATTCTTAATTAGCAAAGAAGAATCCATCCAGAGGACCTGAATCAACCTTGTTGGATTCATTTACCTGGATTATTGAGCATGCATCAGGACATTTAACCTAAAACCCTTTGGAGATCAGTGAATTGGCCTCACTGCTGATGAAGATGGTCCTAAAACCTTCAACGTTGTGAGTCTGAACCACAGAATGTACAATCCCAGTTCCAAAACGGTGTAAATAAAAACAGACAGCAATGGTTTGTAAATCTCATAAACCCACATTTTGTCCACAATGGAACATTGTAAAGACATGAAATGCATTAAATGAGAAATGCAACGAGATTTAAGGTAATTTTCGATTTGATTGCAGCCACACATCTTTAAAAAGTTGGGACTTGTCCATGTTTTCCAATATGAAGCCTCCATTCTTCTTTTAACAGCAGCCAGATAATGATTGGGACCAGTTGCTGCAGTTTTTGAGATGAAATATTGCATCTTGGTTCTACAATTTTTCTGGTTCTTCCACAGACTGGTGAACCTCTTCCCATCTTTACCTCAGAGAGATTCAGCCACTCTAAAATATCTTTTAACCCGGTCCTCCTACTGACCTTTTGCCAGTTAAACTAATTGGTTGTAAAATGCTTCCTATTATTTTTACGGCCTTTTGTTGCCCCTTGTCCCAACTCTTTTGAAATGTATTTCTACCATAAAGTTAAAATTTATTCCCTAAAAGAAGCAACCTTATTTTGTTTCAATGAGAAATTTGTTAATATATTTAATTTTTAATAAAACATTGGTTTCTGAGTGTTGCAAATCATGTCATTCTGTTTTTGACTTTTATTAACACCAGTTTTTTTTTTTTCCCACACATAATTATATTTGATAAATTAGTTAAAACTTTATTAATCCCTTGGGAAGATTCCTTCAGGGAAATTAAAACTTGGGATTGTATTTATTATAAAATGAGGATAATGATCTAAGCGTGGTGTAAACGCTCCACAGACTTGAAGATTCAAGTGATAGCAGTTATTAACATTTATTATAATAGTTGTCAAAATGGGTTCATGTAACCAGACCTTTTATTTTTCATTTTGAAGGAAGCCCTGGATGACGCCACTGACCCTTGGGGCATCAAGGTGGAGCGTGTGGAGATAAAAGATGTGAAGCTGCCTCAGCAGCTGCAGAGGGCCATGGCGGCAGAGGCAGAGGCCAGCCGGGAGGCCAGGGCCAAGGTGAGCGCAGGACGGGAAGATTTCATGACAAGAAGAAGGAACATTTTTACACATGACTGTCTCTGCTTCAGATCATTGCTGCTGAGGGTGAGATGAAGGCCTCCAGAGCGCTGAAAGAAGCATCTCTGGTGATCGCCGAGGCGCCCTCTGCTCTCCAGCTGCGATATCTGCAGACCCTCAACACCATTGCTGCAGAGAAGAACTCCACCATCATCTTCCCGCTGCCTTTAGATATGATACAGTGTTTCATGCAGAGGAAGTGATGAATTGAAGCCCCTGTGAGTTCTGAGCTGCTGCAGCTTTACTGCCCAACGTGAGTTTGCAATGGGTTTTTTCATTTGTTTTTGAGGGGGAGGGAATCTTGTAATTTTTAAATGCACCAAATCTTGTTTTCATGTACTTATTGCGTACACTTATTTAATACATAAATACAAAGTGCAACATATACAGTACAGCCAGAACCTCTCATTATTGACCACGATATTGCAACCAGCTAAGTTACAGTTTCAGCTCTGGAGGAGAGCAAATAAATAATAATAATAATAATTAAGAAAAAAACATGTATACAAGACGCGAAACCAAAATAAGTTCCAACAAACGCGTGAAGGCATTCTTTCATGATCTGGAACAGGAATTTCTTAAAAACGTACAATCTTGTTAATTTGGGTTTTGCGAACAATCAACATCCACGTGATGCACCGAGCTCGTCTTATGTGATCAAAACTGTAAACAAAAACTCTTATTTTGAAGTTCATTCAGTGACTGTATACAAGACGGTGTCCACAGGACACAGAGGCGATCAGTGCAATCAGAGAACCTGAAGGAGACGAGCCTCCTCTCAGAACCGAGCTGCTCACACAAACAGAAACGGACGATTCAAAGCAGCTACAACCAAAGTCCTGTATGAGAAATGCAATACTGCTATGTTTATTACCATTATTATTATTATGTTATGCTGTTTCAATGTACGCTGTATGCTTTATGCTAAAGTAGTTCTACAGCACTGCATACAGAAGACATTTTACTCAACACTTGGAGAACCTTCGAGATGATGGCTACTGTATGAAAACAACAAGTACGCTAAACATAAAATAAAACTTATGGCAGTTGCTTCCCTTTGATGACTCCTATTCCCTCCTAAATCCTGAGATTATTCCAAACAATGAGAAATGAGGTACCATTGCAATAGAAGGTTTTTTTTTTTTTCTTGCTTTGTTAATGAAATAACAGTAAATGTTGCAAAAGGCGAACGTGATCTGCAGAAACGAGGACGCTTTTATGATCATGTCTCTGTGGTGAGAATATGTTAAAATTTTAGTTTAATGACTAAACCGGTGCTTATTATCGTGCCAATTTGTGGCATGTTGACGCTCAATTAAACTTTAAAAGCATCTATTAATCCCATTTGAATGACCAAATTGTTCAATAAATAGAAAATTATCAAATTTGCTTGAATTAACTGATTATATTCTACAAATCGGTTGTTGCTGGTTACATAAGTAGCCTAATTATCACTTCAGAATAAGGAACATGTACTAAGTTAGAACTAATTCATGACCCTTAATTAACTTTATAGTTGTGTTTTGTTAAAAAAAAAATAGGCCATTTTTTTAGGTGTTGAGGTTAGTTTTCCTACCTTTTAAGGCAGATTAGGTAGATTATGTTGATACACTACTAATTTGCATGATAATAAGCAACAAGTTAATGAGTTTTTGTTTTCCTTGCACTGACGTGTAACCAAAAACTCATGTATAGTTTCAGCGAGCTTCAAGAGCTGTTGTAGGTGTAAAAATGTGAGAAAACCAATGCAAAGTTTCCTGTGTACACAGCATTTATGTTAATTCTGCTGCAAAAACCTCTAAACGTCTAACTGATACAGCACTTGCTGAGTTTATCGAGGTTCTCTTTGGTGGTTTCGTTTCATCTGACTTTCCTAAGCTGAGGGTAAGAGGCACCAACAGCTATTTCTGAATTTCCTCTTAATAAATGTTCATGGTCATGAAACATAAGAACAAACTTGTGTTGCTTCCTTATTCTTCCGCTCATTATCATCACTTTTTTTTTTTAACTTAAAGTCCATTGTAAGTGGAAGACAAGCCATGCTTCAAAGATAGCAAACAAATGTACAGATTTTACAAAGTAAAGTCAACGTTGTCATCATTCTGTTGCTAGTTAAGTGGGTTTATGACTTATTCATCTAATCACACGTTTTAGGTCAACACTTTTAAGTTTAAGAATAAAGTATGACTATTTAGAATGACTATACACACACACTATTTTATTACGTAAACCTGTTCAAGTGTTTAATACAAATAGCTCGTCGGCAGCGACAGCAACACGAAGCATTCATTCATGCAGACGCGGTGAAGACGGCTTGACGTTTAAACTGAGCATCAGAACGGGGGAAGAAAGGGTATTAAAGTGACTTTAGACATGGTATAATTGCAGACGTACGAGGATTTTCCGCACACAAACATCTGTAGGGTTTACAGAAAAGGGTGTGATAAAGAGATAAATCCAGTGAGTGGCATTTGGATGGATGACCTTGTTAAAACTGTAAATGGTCCACACATATAACACTTTTTTTTAACTTCTCCAAGGTTCTGCAAAGTGCTTCATGTTTGTTCTAATTCACCCAGTAACTCATATTTGCACTCGAAACACTTTTTGTCCATTAATGTTTAACATTCAAATCCCATTGAAATAAACTGTTTTTTGCAATGGAGGCCTGGGCCTGATGGCAGCTAACATGCATGTTTTTGGACTGTGGGAGGAAACTGGAATAAACCCACACTAATACCCCGGGTCCAAACTGGGGATTGAACCCAAGACCTTTTGCTGTGAAGCAAAAGTGCTAACCATTAAGTTGTGCTGCCCGTGTTCTCATGCACTGGACTTAAATTTACCCAAGGACACTTACACTGCAGGAGCTGGGGACTGAACTAACGAACCTCCAGTTGCAGGACAGCCTGCTTACCCAGTGAACCAAAGCTGACTCAATAATGCCAGAAGTCAAACTGGTTCAAGATGACAGAAAGGCAGCAGTAGCTCAATCAACGACTCGTTACAGTCCAGATAAACAGAATAGAACCTGACCGATTTGGAAATTTTGGCTATCGCCAATATCAGTATCGGACGGGAGAAGCTAATTCTTAATATAATGATAAATAATAATTTTGAGCTTGGTCCACCCCGAAGAATCTAAATAAACAGCTACTTTTAAACCTGTTAATACTCGGAAGTCTTGAAACAGTCTTCCTAACGCACATTCACATTTTCTATCCTCCACTATTCACTATAAAGTTATCAAGTGTGTTTCATAACTATAAATTAAACAAAGAAACACTCTTCCATGTCCATTGTTTAAATTGTGAGTCACGTATGGTGAAGGCCTAACTAGTATTGATCTCTGCAGTGTTTTATTTGCAGAGAAGTAAATATTTCAGACAAACAATGCATTTAATTGAGGATGACAAAGATAACGTCACTAACACTGATATTAAAATTTTGCAAGGAAATAGCCTATGCTAACTGTTAGCTTGCTAACTTGAGAGTCGCATAGCTAATGGCAAGCAGGTTGGAGAATTGAAGATAATTTATTATTGTTGATTTATTTAATTTTTTTAATTTTACAGATCAGTTAAAATAAATGTACCATGCTCTGTTCAGCAAAATACAATACACAGTATTGCTTGCTGCTTTGGCTGTATGGGGTGATGTTTGTAAAGTTACATTGTCAAAAATTAACAACAATATTTTGGTTTATTTAGCCTTTAATAAGGAAAAAAATAGTTTTATTTTTCAAAGTCATATTTTCACCATGTCATTCATACATTTATAAATGTCATAGTTCCAAACTAAATATTTAATTTACAAGCAAAATATTTAGTTTACAAACTAAATACTTAACTTGCAAGTTAAATATTTAGTTAGTAAACTAAATATATAGGTGCAAATTAAATATTTAAATTCCAAGCTAAAAATTTACTAAAAAACTAAACATTTAATTTCCAAATTAAATATTTATTGTTCAAGCTAAATATTTAATTTCCAAACTAAACATTTAATTTCTAAGCTAAACATTTAATTCCGAAACTAAATATTTAATTTGCTAACTAAATATTTATCTCGGACATAAACATTTAACTTGAAAGTTAAATATTTAGTTAAATATTTAGCTAGCAAATTAAATATTTATTTTAAATTAACAGCAATATTTTGGTTTATTAAGCCTTTCATAAGAAAAAAATATTTTTTTCAAAGTCATATTTTCAACATTAAAATTTATGCTAACTAAATATTTAGCTCGGACATAAATATTTAACTTGCAAGTAAAATATTTTACAACAAGTTAACTATTCATTTTAAATTAACAGCAATGTTTTTGGTTTATTTAGACTTTCTATAGGGAAAAAAATGTTTTTTTTTTCCAAAGTCATGTTTTCACCATTAAAATTTACGCTAACTAAATATTTAGCTAGCAAGCTAAACATTTAGCTAGCAAGTTAAATATTTAAGTCCAAGCTAAACATTTAGTTACCAAATTAAATATTTTGTTTAGGAATGAAGTTTTAAGCTTAGAAATTAAATATTTATCTTGTAAATTAAATATTTACTTTGGAACTATGACATTTATAAATGTATGAATGACATGGTGAAAACATGTCTTTGGGGAAAAATTTTTTTTTAAATTTTTTTTTATATGAAAGGCTAAAATAAACCAAAATATTGTTGTTAATTATTGACTGTGTAATTTTACAAACGGCACCCCATATAGCTGTGCTGAAAATGAAACTTAAAAGCGCATGGCCATGACTTGAAAGTAGACTACATGCACCCTCTGCAGGATACATTGTACAATTATGTCCTTTGCCAGTCAGGACACCGGTCATTCCCAGTGTTTATACTGGCACATAATGGGACAATTATAGTCAATACGATATGTTCCCAAACGCTTATATCGGCCTAAAATATCATCCCTACCAATATATTGGCCAGACTCTAAAGCAGAATACCATCTTTGAACACTCATCATGCCCATCTTCAAAGCAGATGGTCTCTAGCAACAGCAGAGCACACCGGGTGTCACTCTTGTCAGCGAAGAACAGAAGCAGAGGATATTATAATTCACACAGGCTCACTGTCGCCTGGTTTGACGAGTACGTAAACCCTGCAGAAGGTTGTATGTGAAAATCCCAACAGATCAGCAGTTTCTGAAACCATTCAAAATCACTTAAATCCCCTTTCTGATTCTCAGTTTGAACTTCACCATGACTATATACCTAAATGCATTGAATTGCTGCCATTTGATTGGCTGATTAGCTATGTGTGCTAACAGGTCTTTCTAATAAAGTGGCTGACGAGTTTAGATGACTTTGCATCTGTTATTCATTCATTATTACCCTCATGATGCATGAAATCTTTGACATGCCTTGGTTAAGAATTTACACCTTGAGAGCAAAGAACTATGGGTAGATTTGGGGTTTTACATAAAATATTGCCTGTGAGGCTTTGCTGGTGGGGGAAAAATTAAACGGCTGAAGGCGCTTCTTGTGTTTGTCGTTGCACTTTTCATGTTTGCTATGTTCATTCGTCATCCTGAGTGCTGAAAGCTGGAAGATGGAGGCCAGAACATGGACATGAACATGAGGCACTGTGACTTCCTGTCTGCTCTCTGGGATCTACAATCAGCAGATGAAGAGTGCTCAGTGTTGCTGCAGTTCATCTGTTCTGGTGGGACGTTCATGTAGGTTAAAAAAAAAAGACTGAAGGACTTCCTCTTGGACAACCAGAGGTGAGATCAATACAATTCATTATGTCAAAGATTAAAAGGTTTGTGGTTTGGAGGTGCATCGTACGGGGAAGTCAAATTTCCCAGCACACCTACGTATTCATGTCTATTTGTCGAGCGTAAAATCCCCCTTCAAATAAAAAGTAAGTTCGTCAAAAAATTTGCCGCCGACAAAAGTCAACCTGGAGGGTCATTGATGGTAAGAGTGTGGGCGTGCGGGGGAGCCTGGTCCAGACAGGGGGTGGTGGATGGGGGAGGAAGTGGGGGACATGTTGGGGCTCAGCTCGCCTGTCTGGAGGCGCCACAGCAGCTCCTCGTTGGTGCGACTCAGACGCTTCTTCTCTTTGCTCTCCTTTTCCACGTGAACTTGCAGGTTGGCGTTCTCTTTAGTGAGTTGCCTGAGGAAAAATAAAAAACAGCCGCAGTCAAGTTTTTGTCCTTTTCTGTACCTGCTAAAGCTTTTTCTGACATCCGTAACCTATGGAGTGCATGTGACTTTAGCGGTTGATTTCAAAGCAACAACTTGCATTTTGGTCGGGGTTTTAGGCTTCAAACCAACAAACAAATTATAATAAAATGTCAATACTATTTAGATTTCTCTTAGAAATATACTGGATATGTCTTTCCATCCATTATCTTCTGTTGGTTCTGAAGTCGGGTCACGGGGGCAGCAGCTTGAGCAGGGAGGTCCAGACATCTCTTTCCACAGCCGCCTCTTCCAGCTCTTCTGGGAGTACCCCAAGGTGTTCCCAGGCCAAGTGAGAGACGTAGTCTCTCCAGCGTGCCCTGGGTCTTCCCCGGGGTCTCCTCCCAGTCAGACATGCTCGAAGCACCTCCCTAGGGGGGTGCCGAGGGAGCATCCTTACCAGATGCCCGAACCACCTCAACTGGCTCCTCTCGATGTGGAGGAGCAGCGGTTCTACTTCGAGTCGTTCCCGGATAACTTCTTCCCTTATCTCTAAGGGAGAGTCCAGCTACCCTGAGGAGGAAACTCAATTCAACCACCTGTATCCACGATCTCATTCTTTCAGTCTCTACCCAGAGCTTGTGACCATAGGTGAGGGTAGGAACGTAGACCGACCGGTAAACAGAGAGCTTTGTCTTATGGCTCAACTCCCTCTTCACCACGATGGACCGGCACAGAGTCCGCAATACTGCAGATGCCGCACCAATCCGCCTGTCAATCTCACGCTCCATTCTTCCCTCACTCGTGAACAAACCCAGAGATACTTGAACTCCTCTACTTGAGACAGAACCTCACCCTCGACCTGAAGAGAGCAATCCACCCCTTTCCAACTTTTACTGGATATGTAACATAAAATATGACCAGGTGTACACATTACCAACCAAACAAGAGTCCTCCTCCTGGTTTGAAGGTCATTTTAAACCAATAGAAGCTGTAAAGATTTAAACAAACCTGGACATGGCGAGATTCTTGTCTATTTGCTCCTTGAGGTCTTCGTTCTGCTGCTGTAACACTTGAAGTTTCTCCTCCAGGTACACATTTTTTTCAGCCTGCTCAAGAATACAGATGAAAAAGGCAAAACTTTAAATTCTTCAGAGGAACAATGGCGACCTAGAGCAGCAGCAGGAAACCAAACAGATAAGTCTTTTTTTAAAGGTTCTTTATTGTGTGAATGCTTAATGTGATCCTGTTCATATTTATTATTTGTCGGACTACTTCATCTATTCCAAACGTTTTTCGGCATCTACCTTGTTCCACAATTTTTGTGCTATTTCAACAAATCATAAAACGTTCATCTCATTCAGGACAATGCTGCTGTGACATTTGGTATTGGTGCATTTTTAGCTTTTTGAAATATTTAGCCTTTTCTGCCATTTTATTTCCCATAGAAAATGAATTGAGCCCATTTTACATCCTTTTTGTTGTGGTCCAGCTTCTTTCAGCTTCCTTGTGCAATAAAAAAATCAGCTACTTTCAGCTAATTTCAGCTGGGTTTTTTTTAGCCGTTTTGTGCTCTTTTCTTTCTGCTAACTACAACATTTTTGTGCATCGTCTAACTTCTTTCTGCTAATTTCAGCTTGTTATGTTCCTTTCAGCTTATTTCTGCAAGTTTCAGCTATTTCAGATACTACTCAGCTGTTTTAGTCTAATTTGAGCTTTTCCAGCTAATTCCTCTTATTTATTTTTTTTTACATTCATTTAAACTTTTTTCAGCCTAATTCAGCAAAAATGCACTCTCGCCACATCCATCTGGTAATTTAGGCTTCTTTCTGCCTTTTTAAGCTACTATACAGCCGTTGTTGGTTTTTTAATTTAATTTCTGCTTTTTCAGATAATTTCCACATTTTTGTACTAATTTCTGCTTCTTTCAGCCTAACTGGGCACAATTGTGCTCTCTCCACTTCTTTCTGGTAATTTAAGCTTTTTTCTGATTTAGCTGTTTCTTTTGCTAATCTTAGCTTTTTCAGCTAATTTTCTAATTTTTGTGCTCATTTCAGCTCATTTAAACCAAATTCAGCAAATATGTGTTCTTTCTGCTTTCTCCTGCTCGTTCTTCCATTTCAGCTACGTTTTATTTATTTATTTTTTAGCTAATTTCAGTTATTTTTCAGCAAGTACTTCTGCAAGATGCATTCACACCGCTTTTTTGCAGGAAATTAAATTTCTCTAGTTTTATTACAAATAGGTTGACATAAAATGAATGCATTTACACTAAATGTGTTAAGTGGACGTTGACAGAGTTGCAGTGACCCAGGGCACTTTATGATATTTAATTTATAAGAACCAACTATTTTTCTAAATTCAACTGTTTAGCAATAATTTGCGGATGCCCTGACATCAATTAACACTGATTTAATATGAATCCATCTCTTTTCTAAATAAATACAGAAAAAACTGGTATAAATTAGATGTGTCCAAGCACAGTTGTTAGAAGCTTGTGCAATAAATAATGTTACTATGTTTCAATAATAATAATAATAATGTGATGATGCCTTTAAATAACAGTGAAATAACTGTTTTACTTTTTATTTTATGCTGTAACATTTATTAAAGATGAATATTTTTGATTTTATATACAAAGTGAAATACACAGAACCCCTTGAATCTTGCTCTTGAGCAGTAAAAAAATAAAATAAAACTTGAAACCTACTATTTTCTCCAGCTCTGAAATCTTCAGCTCCTGTTGGTGGATTTGTTGATTTTTCATCTCCAGAACTTCCTTCAGACTCTTCAGGTCCTCTTCAATGTGTTTATAAGGAGCCAAGGCATCCTGAACAGAAGAAGTATCCGTTGTTTCATCTCGCAGCGGTTGTTAAAACCATCAGTGTTTCAGACTTTGGGTCGTGAAGCGCTCACCACAATCTGCTCGTCGGTGCTCTTACGAAGAGCTTCTTCAAATCGCTTCGCTCGATCTCTCAGGCTGCGATTCTGAAACGTCAGCGTGTCCACCTGATCCTGGAAATGAGAAACACCTTAATTAGTTATTTACAGTCATTAAAAAAAGGTTAAAGTGTCCTAAAACAAATCACTATTAACCTGCAGTGACAGTCTGATCTTCTCAAAGTCTTCTTCCTGTGATTTCTTCTGCTGTTCGTGAGCCATCTTCAGATCTGCCGGCAGATAAAATCATGTTTTTGACCTCGACATGAAGCTGGGACAGGACAGGAGCAGGTTTTAAAAAGCTGCTTACTTTTGACAGTCCTGGCATGCTCCTCCTGCAGAGTGACCAGCGTGTCGTTGTGAACCGTCTCCAGCTCCAGCAGGGAGGTTTTGTGGTTTTCAGTCATCTCCTCAAGCTGCAGAAAAGACGGCAGCATAAGATTCAAACCGGCTCAGATCAGACGGCAGAGGTTTATAAAGAACCGGATATAAAGTCCCTCAACTGAACAGTTCACGTTGGTTATTTTCAGGTTTCATTCCAAATCTTTGTTTGTTCCAAATCTGTGCCACACTTCAGATTAATTAAACTCAATGGAGAGGATTTTTTAAAATTCTATAAAAAAAGACTGAAAATGTGCGTGTGCATAAGTTTCCAGCCCCCAGGTCTCAGTACTTTGTGTTGCATCACCTTCTGCAGCAGTTCCAGCATCGAGTCTCTTCAGGTCCATCTTCATGATCTTCTGACCTCTTGACCTTTCCTCCTTCCTTCATGATCTGCTGCAGCTCCTTCAGCTTGACTGGGTGCTGCTCGAGTCCAACAATCTTTAAATCAAACCAGAGATCCTCGGTTGGATTGGTCTGGTTTCTTTTTGGGACATTCCAGGAGGTTCTCCTTGAACCTCTGGATTGTTGCTCCAGCGGTGCGTTTAGGGTCGTTGTCCTGCTGGAAGGTGGACCTCAGTCCCAGTCTCAAATCTCTACAAGACTTCAACCAGTTCCTCAGTTATTTCTCTGTATTTTGCTCCATCCATCTTTCCTTTAACTCTGAGCAGTTTCCTAGTCGCAGCTCATGAAAACCATTCCCTCAGCATGATGCTGCCACTGCCGTGCTTCACTGTGGAGATGATGATCTCAGCATGATGAGAGGTGGTAGATTTGTCCTTAATGTTTGGTCTCATCTGACCACAGCACCTTCATCCATGTTTGGGGAAGAAATTCCTATTTTAAGCAATTTTTTTTCTTCTACTCTTCTATGACGTCCATCTCTGAGCACTTTTTACAGATCCTGTGGACAGATACTCCCACCTCTGGAAAGCTAAGCTCCATAAGGGTTGTCTTTAGCATCTTGGATGTTTCTCTAAATAATGCTTACCATGGAGATTTCCTTGGGCTTCATGATGCCACATACTTGTTGGTAGCTCTAACTACTTAGAGGTGTTTCTCTGGTGTTGATTCGGATGCTGCTACAACAGCTGTGGATCATTTCACATTTAGATTGCTCACATGTGGATCTTATTAAGCTTTATAAATTTGTGGTATATTTGGATAATTACTGTTTTTATTAACAAAATAATGTCCAATTAAATTCCATGCTATAAGGTAACATTGAACCACCCTATTTACCAAGAGTTATTTCTCTTGTCGCTGTACTGTATAGTCATTTGGACCCGGACAGCACCCACCTGCTCCTCCTGCCTGAAGCGCAGCTCCTCCAGCTCATCTCGTTGTTGGACCTGCAGCCTCTCGGTCTCATCCATGTGCTGAGCCTTCAGCCGCTGCTCCAGTGCTCCCAGCTCCCTCTGCTGCTGAGCCTGCAACCCCTGCAGCTCAGCTTCAAAACGCCGCTCCAGGTCCTCCTTCTCCTGCTGCAGCTGCTCCCAGTGTGCCACACTGAAAGCTGGAACACAGTCAGCTGGGGTTAACAACATCACCGGACTCAACTTTACCTCACACACTAACTAAAAACAACCAAAGCATCAGTTCTTTCTGATACAATATCATAATGTGGCACATGAAGGTTAACGGACAAATCTCATTTTCTGTAAATCCTTTTTCACAGAACATTGTAACGGAACCATGTGGGGGCTAAAACAAGGTGTTCAATAGGACTAGAAAAGCAGTGTGGATTCATAGATGTACGGTGGCCCTGCGGTGTAAATGAACAACATTTGAAAAACGGAATTACATTTTAAAAAAACACAAGAAAAACACAACATTTGAAAAAAACAGAAGAGCCACCGATGTCACCTCCTCCTGCTGACTGCAGAGTTTACTGTACAAATCACGTGTTCTGTAAATCAGTGGTTCTCAAACTGAAGTCCCCGGACCTCCAGGGGTCCGCGAGCTGGTGCTGGTGCCTGGGGGTCTGCAAAAAACAAAAAATCTCTCTCTATATATAATTTTTTTTTTTTCATTTACCCTTTATTTATACAGGTAGTTTCATTGAGTCACGAGAACTTATTTTCAAGAGAGACCTGTTTGGCGAGCAGATGGGTGTTAAGGGCCTTGCTCATGGGCCCAGGGTGGGGCGAATGAGGGTGGGGGCAGGTGCTTCACCTACCCCACCCAAATTTTTGATGATGTCGGTACCAGGGCTTGAACCGGCGATCTTCCGATCACAGATCCACCTCTCTAACCTCTGCGCCACACATATACATATATACATACATACATACATATACATATATATATATGTACATACATATATATATATATACACATACATACATATATATATATATATATATATACACATACATACATATATATATATATACATACATACATACATACATACATATATACATACATACATACATATATACATACATACATACATATATA